TGCAGACGCCTGTGATTGGTCACTAGTGGGCAGAAATTGGAGGAGCAGGAGGCAGGTGGGGGGATCCTGCTGGCTGTGTGGGGCACTGGCTGTGTAATCTCCTCACTGGGAAGTGTCAGTGAGGCCTGAATCTCACACGCTCCTTTGGGTCTCACAGGAGCTCATTGAGGAGCTGCCTGATAACTTTCCATCCGGCGCCGTCCTCGCTAACTCCCTGATTGCTGTGGGCAACCTCAGGTACCGAGACCCTCCCACCTGGTTCCCTTAACCCCGGTGCTGCTCAGGCCCAGTGCTGGGAGTCACTGCCCCTCCCACTCCCAGGTCACCTCCCAAGGGTGGCTCCTCTGGCAGAGGTGGTGGGAAGATTCGCTCCCTCCTGGCTGGGCTGTTCTTTTCACTCCAGTAACATTGCAATGGCTTTGGGGGAAAGGCTCACTCCCAGGATCAGATACTGGAGGGGCAGCAGGGTCCAGGGAACGGGCATTATTCCTACCCTGCCACTGTCTGTCTGGGAAACCTTGGCCTTGTCATTCTCTGGCTCGGTGCCTCAGTTTCCATTCTCGCCAGCCTGTGTCTATTTCCCTGCAGTTTCACGTCCATGTTGGTGCCAGTCCCACCCCGCACTGCACAGTCTAATACTGGGTCCTCTCTCTTGGACTTGAGAGCCACGGAAGGGGAGAGTCTGTCTCCTTCCTGGTGAGCTGTTCCGGAATCAGGAGTTCAGGGAGGACGGGACCAGCCCTGACACCGAACATTGTTCCAATCTAGAGAGACAATGACAGGTTGTGAGCTGCAGGATACAAGCATCATCCTGGGGGCAACAATCCCCTTCTAAAGCTTTGTGATCAATGAATCAGATATTCCACTCTGCGCACAATGTCTCAGTCCCTTGGGGATGGGATGTGTGTCTCATTTGCACAACACATGCACCTTGACCCTGAGCTGCCTCCTTTCCCCACAGCACATTAACTACTGGATCGTGTCCAGGGTGTCACAGGAGAGAGCCAAGGCCATTAGGAGCAGCACGGCCCTGCTTAGATTTACCATCACCCTCCCTGAGTTTGACGTAAGTGACCTCTGACCCCAGCTTCCTGACTCCAGGTGTAGGTGGGCTGGCTCTAACTGGCTGTAGGATCTGCTGCTGCAGGGGCTGTGGGTTAGGAGTGTTCCTCTTGGAGAGGCAGAGTCAGAGCAGAGAATGAGCTTGGCTTGAGTCAAGTTCTTCTTGTCCTGGTTAAGTGGTGACTCTGGGCTTTTAAGGGGACCATGCTCCAGGTTCATGCCTTCCTGTCAACCTGGAGCATCTGGGGAACAGGAGCAGCGCCAGGGTTTTTGCCGCCCTAGGCGGCAGCGCTCCTCCTCTGAAGCTGCGTTCTCAGTGGCGGGGGTCCTTCCACTCTGGGTCTTTGGGGCACTTTGGCGGTGGGTCCCGGAGCGAGTGAAGGACCCGCCGCCAAATTTCTGCCAAAGACCCGGAGCGGAAGAAGCCCCTTTGGGCGGCCCTGGTTCTCGGCGGCATTTCCGGAGCCGCTTTTCTTCCCGCCCAGAGGAATCGCTGGCGAAATGCTGCTCCCCACATCCTGCTGACCTAGGCGACCACCTAGGGTCGCCCGTGGAAGCACCAGCCCTGCTGGGGAAGCAAGTCCTCATGGAGGGCCCTGCCCACATCCCTGTGCTCCAGGCTCCCTTGGGGGCAGAGGAAATTAAGGGTCTAGCTCCTATCCTCTAGCATCTCCTGCAGAGGTGCTGAGGGGAAGGAGAGTCCTGGCCCTGGGGGGATGGGGAGCTGACAGGAAAATGCTGATGGAGTCTCCTCTCCCTCCCATTAGAACTCAGCAGAATTCCCCGGATGGGTCACCATGTGGCACAGCTGGCTCTGTTCATCAGTGACCCAGCCAAGGACATCAGCCAGCAGGCCAGGGAGTGGGTTTACTGGCTCTATCAGCTGCTGCTGCACCAGAGGGGTAAGGAACCCAGCTGGGAAATGGCACCCGATAGAAGAGTGAGACTGGGACCCCAGCCAATTTCTCTCAGACTGACCCCGGCTGGAGGATGTCTCTCTCTCTATCTCTTTCTCTGTCCTACACCACCCCCTGAAATTCTGTTGGGCCAGGCACGCAGTGAGGACTCTGCCCACTGTGCAGCCACCAATGGGATTGGAAGGACACAAGCACTGCAAGCAGAATGACAAATGTGTGTGCGTGTCTCTCTTTCCCAGGGCTGACCATCCATGAGGCCGAAGACCTGTGGTGCTGGGACTGGCACCAGGACAGTAGGCTCCTGGGCTATAGGTGCACAGCCAGAGTGGGGGAGGTAAGAACACTCTGCCAGGGCATGAGACAGCTCAGGGAGTGGGGATGTCTGGGTCCCCTGCAGTGGTTGCCTCCTGGGGCCACTAGACAGAGATACTGTTTTAGCCCCAGGATTTGGAGGCTGGCTCTGGGCAATCTACTAATACCTCACATCCTGTTGGTTTTAGGTCTTGGGAAAGTTCTTCTCGGAGGGGCAGAGAAGATTCTTCCTCTGGACAGCAATGCTGGCCATCCACAACCCCCTGCTGCATGTCAGCCAGTCTGGGCTGCTCCTCCCCTACTCCCTTCTGGGGGAAGCCCAGCAATTGATGGGGGACAAGGTAAGTAGCTGCATTAGACTCAGGAGATTCAGGTCTCATTCCCATCCTATTGCCTTTTGCTGGCCTGGCAGCAAGGAGCAGGGCCGGCTCCAAGCACCAGCAAACCAAGCAGGTGCTTGGGGCGGCACATTTTCAGGGGCGGCATTCCAGCCAGTCCTTTTTTTTTTTTTTTTTTTGCGCTTGGGCGGCAAAAGCCTAGAACCGGCCTTGGCAGCAGCAGCGCGTCCTGCGACCAGGGGCGCCCTGGGGCTGCTGTGG